CTTCCCAACGTGACTTGCGTTAACTGAAAACCAGTGTCAGAGTGTGTGTACCCCTTGGACTCACAGGGATCCTTTCGGATTGTTCACTGTGTTTTTTCGTTCTAAGCAGGGGGTGCAAGCAGCCTATCCAGTCTTGCACCAACGAAGACACTGGATATGTGCTGGTGATATTGATCCGGGACGCTGGATCAACGTACCTGCTTTGAGAGAAACCTACGTAATGGACAAGCGTTCCACTTCTGAGTTTTGTTGCAGTAATCGTCTAGTGCTGTAAAGGGCTAGTCCGTCGACGATTCACCTTGGAACTTTCCTGAGCTTGGAACCTGAACTTGAACTTGATTTTGAAGGCTTTGGAGGTTCCTTAAAATCACCGGTTTTCACTTACCCGGCCTCTTAGGTTTTTCACTTAGGCTAGCGTGTGGCAACGGCAATCAAGTCCGTACGCATTTCCATAAGTGTGTGTGTAACCCTTGGAATCACAGGGATCCTTTCGGATTGTTCTCGCTTTTGGTGTTTTGAGCTTTTCAGCAGGGGGACTGCCTGGCTTGTAACAGTGGCAGTCCAACGAAGAGGCTGCTACAAGTCACTGATATGGATTCTGGACGCAGAATCCACGTACCTGCTTGGTTGTGGCGTTGACAAGCTTTCACTCCAATCTTCTCGTAAAGGGCTAGTGAGTTCTGCAGATGCGCACGGACCGCCGTCATCTTGTCGATCGATCGCTCGATGGTTCCTTTAGAGTTGATGGCCTTGCTGAACTTGATGGACCTCTTCTTCCTTTCTAGGCCCCCTTACCTGTACCCTTAGGAATTGGAACTCTAGGGCGGCGTGTGGCACCGCTGTCAAGTCCGTACGCATATCCATGAGTGTGTCTCTCTGAGTGAGAGTCCGGGATGAGCCCGCAGAGTGCCTCCCGTGGACCCGTTGAACGGGGGTTTGTCGTTATCTCCCTTGCTTTGGAGATGTAAGTGTCCAGAGCGGACAGCAGATGGCTCATGCCTCAAGAAGTGGGATGTTTGTCTCATTTTTGGAATTCCAAGTTGGCTCATGCCTTTACGTGACCGCAGCGGTCCAAGCTGGCTGAACGCCTCAACGTCGTCAGAGCGACCGAAGCACTTTTGAGGTTCATTGGAACCTGTGGAGAACTTAGGCCCCTTCTCCCCCTTCCCTCCCCCTTTCTCTCTTTGCTTTCTGGTGTTTTCCTGAATGTAATACTCAGGATCTCCCCTTTCTTTCTTTGGTGTGTCCCTGGACGATTGTTCGTAGCTGGGAACACCTTCCTTTCTCTCCTCTCCCTTTCTCTCCCTCTCTCTTTCTTTCCTTCCCTTTTTCCTCTCTTCACCCTTTTCCTTGGGCCTCCCTGGATGCTTTCGTCATAGCTGGGAGCCCTTCCTTTTTGGTGTGTCCTTGGACGCTTGCGCCGTAGCTGGGAACACCTTTGCTTCCTTCTCTCCCTCCTTCTCTTTTCCTCCTCCCCTCCCCCCTCTTTCCCCGCGCATGGCGTATTTACAAGCAAACTAGGCTTTTGCAACAGGTTTCTCAATCAGGTTTGGGCTGTCATCGGTTTGTCCCCTTTCATTTGGTTCCCCTTTCATCCGCCCCCACAGACTTTTTTTCCCTTCTTTCCGTTCATGTCCTTCTGTCTTCATGTCTCTTCATCCTCATCCTTTCTTTCTCTTGCGCGCACTATCGTCCGGACCTTAGTTTGTACACATACGCGCACGCGTACTCTACTTACAGCGAGGTTCAGGTGACCCAGGTTCGTTACAATGAGGTTTGGCTCATCGGTTGTCCCTCTTCACTTGGCTCCTTTTCATCGGCAACCACACACACACCTTTGTCTGTCTTGTCCTTCTCATTTTCATCTGTCCCTTTTGCGCGCACATGTGCCTACCTCCTTTCCGGGCAGGATGGAGGTCACACATGCCTTCCTTCGGGGAGGCGTGTGTGTGTAACCCTTGGAATCACAGGGATCCTTTCGGATTGTTCTCGCTTTTGGTGTTTTGAGCTTTTCAGCAGGGGGACTGCCTGGCTTGTAACAGTGGCAGTCCAACGAAGAGGCTGTTACAAGTCACTGATATGGATTCTGGACGCAGAATCCACGTACCTGCTTGGTTGTGGCGTTGACAAGCTTTCACTCCAATCTTCTCGTAAAGGGCTAGTGAGTTCTGCAGATGCGCACGGACCGCCGTCATCTTGTCGATCGATCGCTCGATGGTTCCTTTAGAGTTGATGGCCTTGCTGAACTTGATGGACCTCTTCTTCCTTTCTAGGTCTCCTTACCTGTACCCTTAGGAATTGGAACCCTAGGCCGGCGTGTGGCACCGCTGTCAAGTCCGTACGCATATCCATGAGTGTGTGTGTGTGGGTGCGTGTGGGTGTGTGTGGGCGTGGGTGCGGTGGGTGTGCCGGTGGGTGTGCCGGTGTGGGTGTGCGGGTGGGTGTGCCGGTATGGGTGTGCGGGTGTGTGTGCGGGCGGGCGGGCGGGCGGGTGGGTTTCCAAAGTGTCAGGTGTCACTACTTGCGTTTTAAAGACCCCCTTGAGCGGGAAGCAATAATCCGCCGACCCCGCCGGTTGAAGGGGGCGCGCGCCAGAGGAGGCAACCGAGGGCATGCTGCTTCACAGACTTGTTTTACGGGTTCCGAAAGCAACGTTAGACATTCCAGAGCAGCCTTGGCTGCCGAAGCCGGGCCTGACATGGCCACGTTGAGAGCTGTCTCCCAGTTCTTTCTTATGGGTTTCGAAGGTGACGTTAGGGGGTCCGGTCTCAAACCCTCCTCGGCAGCCGGCAGGGCCGTTGGCCAGGCTTCCGGGGCCTTTGGCTGCAAATGCCTGCGCCGCAGCCCGAAGCCGGGCCGGGCGTGGCCACGTTGAGAGCTGTCTCCCAGTTCTTTCTTATGTGTTTCGAAGGTGACGTTAGGGGGTCCGGTCTCAAACCCTCCTCGGCAGCCGGCCGGGCCGTTGGCCAGGCTCCAAAGCCCGAACCTTTGGCTGCAGATGCTTGCACCGCAGCCTTGGCTGCCGAAGCCGGGCCGGGCGTGGCCACGTTGAGAGCGGTCTCCCAGTTCTTTCTTATGTGTTTCGAAAGTGACGTTAGGGGGTCCGGTCTCAAACCCTCCTCGGCAGCCGGCCGGGCCGTTGGCCAGGCTCCAAAGCCCTTCCCAGGACCTTTGGCTGCAGATGCTTGCACCGCAGCCTTGGCTGCCGAAGCCGGGCCTCTCCCAGTTCTGATTCTTTCTTATGGGTTTCGAAGGTGACGTTAGGGGGTCCGGTCTCAAACCCTCCTCGGCAGCTGGCAGGGCCGTTGGCCAGGCAAGCCCTTTCCGGGACCTTTGGCTGCAGATGCCTGCACCGCAGCCTTGGCTGCCGAAGCCGGGCCTGGCGTGGCCACGATGGGAGCTGTCTCCCAGTCCTTTCTTATGGGTTTCGAAGGTGACGTCAGGGAGTCCCCGGTCTCAAACCCTCCTCGGCAGCCGGCCGGGCTGTTGGCCAGGCTCCAAAGCCCTTCCGGGACCTTTGGCTGCAGATGCTTGCACCGCAGCCTTGGCTGCCGAAGCCGGGCCGGGCGTGGCCACGTTAAGAGCTGTCTCCCAGTTCTTTCTTATGGGTTTCGAAGGTGACGTTAGGGGGTCCGGTCTCAAACCCTCCTCGGCAGCCGGCAGGGCCGTTGGCCAAGCTCCAAAGCCCTTTCCGGGACCTTTGGCTGCAGATGCCTGCACCGCAGCCTTGGCTGCCGAAGCCGGGCCTGGCGTGGCCACGTTGAGAGCTGTCTCCCAGTTCTTTCTTATGGGTTTCGAAGGTGACGTTTGGGGGTCCGGTCTCAAAGCCTCCTCAGCAGGCGGCAGGGCCGTTGGCCAGGCTCCAAAGCCCTTTCCGGGACCTTTGGCTGCAGATGCCTGGACCGCAGCTTTGGCTGCCGAAGCCGGGCCTGGCGTGGCCACGTTGAGAGCTGTCTCCCAGTTCTTTCTTATGGGTTTCGAAGGTGACGTTAGGGGGTCCGGTCTCAAACCCACCATGACCGATGTCGTGTGCGTCTGCACTGTTGTATGCTCATTGCTGCTACCTCCATTCCTATACATTTGCCACCGTGACCGATGTCGTGTGCGTCTGCACTGTTCTGTGCGTGCCTCTGCACTGTTGTATGCTAATAGCTGCTACCTCCATTCCTCTAAATTTGCCACCGTGACCGATGTCGTGTGCGTCTGCACTGTTGTACCTCCATTCCTCTAAATTTGCCACCGTGACCGATGTCGTGTGCGTCTGCACTGTGGTATGCTCATTGCTGCTACCTCCATTCCTCTAAATTTGCCACCGTGACCGCTGTCGTGTGCATCTGCACTGTTGTATGCTACTAGCTGCTACTTCCATTCCTATAAATTTGCCACCGTCGGCGATCTCGTGCCTTATCCCCGGGGTCGGCGGCAGGGGGCGGAGCCCTTACAATCCGGGCGCCGGCCACGCGCCCGTGTCCTTGCCGGAGGCCTTCGGTTGGTAACCGAAGGTTATATACGCTCGCGCCCCCTGCCGCCGACCCTTTTGTTGGACCGCGGGGATACCCCCGGTCGACCCCCGGTCGAATCCGGTCGACAGATTTTTATGTATCTTGCGCTGGATGTTCGAAAATTGTTCAAAAACATCGTTTTTTACAGTGTTTCGTGGCCTTCGGCGTCCACGACAGGGTGCCCGTGGTGTCAGTTATGCGTGCCGCGCGGACAGGCTTAATCGACATTTCGTGGGTGTTGGGCACAGAAGTTGCCTAACATATCCCCAACATAGGCCCAAGATAGCCAACATATGCCCAACATAGCCTCCAAGATGGCTCAACATAGGGCCAACATAGGCCAACATGGGGCCAACATAGGCCCAACCTAGGCCAACATAGGCGTAACATAGGCCGACCTAGGCCCAACATAGGCTCAACTTGGGCCCAAGATGTGCCCAACATAGACCGCATGGGCTCAACTTGGCCCAACCTACGGCCAAGATGCGCACCAGATAGCTCCACCAAGTCTCAAAGAGAGAGACAGGTGTGTGAGAGAGAGAGAGAGGGAGAGAGACAGAGAGACAAAGAGAGAGAGACAGGACCCAGCCCTGCACATACCCAAACCCAAATAGGCCGGCGCCCGGCTGTCAGGCGTAAGCCTCATAAATAAACACCTGACAGTTACAGTTCGAACCCCAAAAACCCAAAGTGTGAATAGCTGCACTGCCGTTGCACCTCTTTGTCTGGTAACGAATGTCGCTCCCCCATTTCCGTATACCAATGAGCACAAGCGGTGCCGCGTTTAGGTTGGAGGCATTGCTTTTGGGTTCTTCAGGCCTTAAGACGACCTCTTTCCTCCTTTCTGTATGTTCTTTTGTACGTTTGTTTATTTAGCCCTTTAGACTGTTTATTTTTATCTGTTTATGCTCCCTTCTTTTTCGAAAACAGAACTTCCCCCAATTCGCCGACTCCGGAGTGCCGGGCCACAGTAGCAAGGGTGTCAAACCATCCACTATGGAGCGGGTGCAGCGGCCATCCACCCACCAACGTTCCCCTAAGCGGCACATATCCTTCTTGGCGAACAAGATCTCCTGACTCCAAAGCTTCCAGTTGAATGCCTTGGTCAAAAGATGTCGATATCATCTCTAATTAAATTATCAAAAGATATCAAAAGTTTGCCCCTTGTCTGCGCAAAAGAGCTGAAAAAAAAAGGCTGCAAAGCAGATGGAAGAGAGTCTTCGTGCTCAGCTGAACTCTCCTGGCAAACAACCCAGAACAGCTTCCAGCCAGCGAAGCAATTTTCGTGCAGAAACGCTGTCGCTAGCAAGGACATGAACCAGGCAGAAGACAAACGAAATGTCATCAAGAGCCTGCCAGCGTTTTTGCGACAATTTCATTCAACACATACCCGGACTTGCTAAAATAGACACCGTCCAGCCTGTCCGCTTCAATGCCGCTGCGGGCAGAATATTTTGTGGACAAAGGATGCGCCAGAAGCAGTTCAATCAACACGATCAAATACGGAGCAGCTCGATGGATCCAGCTTAACACCTTCTCGTTTAAGCCAGCCGCGTTGGCGGGTACAGCCTTCCAAAAAGAACGATACAGAAGATCATACAGAATTCAACAATGCAAGATTCAGCCATCAAGCATCTATGTTTTGCCTATATCTGTCGTAGCACTGGAAACACAACTGAAAGGGAACGGTGTGAGGCCATCCACCATCCCGACTCGAGAACACAGGACAGCGGCACCAACTAGCAGTCGAACAACCTAGGACCTATTCAAAGTCCCATTTGATCCACAGCAAGTCATGTATAGCAAGCGGTTTGCCCAGGCGTGGTTTGAGATTCCACTTGTCTCAAGGTTTGGAGTTCCATCGGTACATTAACAAGAAGCTACCAGTAACAAGTGCATCGCTTCTAGTAACAAGTGCCTTACTAGTAGTAACAAGAAGCTAGTAGTATTTAATTCTATATAACTGTTTGTTACTAGTAGTAAGGCACTTGTTACATTCTGTCTTTAAGAACACAGGAATTGCTGTCCTTACCACGCAAGCGTACGCGGCGTACGCCACGCCTGCGCGACAGCGAAGAGAATGGATGGGAGAGACAGCAGAATGACAATGCACACCCAGACCTCGGAACGCGATTTGCGTCGCAAAGGAAACAAAGGCGTCCTTGCTCCGTAGTAAGGCCAGGAGCCCCTAGTAGCGTTCTTGTTCCTAGTAGCGATGCCAGGAGCCCCTAGTAGCGTTCTTGTTCCTAGTAAATCCCAGCGGTTACAAATTCAACAACTAAGTAAATTTGCTTATGGCTTGAGTCTTTCAATTCTGATGTATCCACAGTGATGTAATCAATACAAGCAACAAACATCCATGTTTTGCAAGTTAACAGGCACGATCAATTTGAATTGATGCTACTAGGAGCAAGGACGCTACTAGGGGTTCCTGGCCTTGCTACTAGTAACAAGAAGCTACTAGTAACAAATGCATCGCCTCTAGTAACAAGTGCCTTACTAGTAGGAACAAGAAGCTAGTAGTTAATTGAATTCTAATCGCTTTTTGGTTACTAGTAGTAAGGCACTTGTTACCACTAGCGAGGCACTTGTTACTAGTAGTAACAAGAAGCTACTAGTAACAAGTGCATCGCTTCTAGTAACAAGAAGCTACTAGTAACAAGTGCATCGCTTCTAGTAACAAGAAGCTACTAGTAACAAGTGCATCGCTTCTAGTAACAAGTGCCTTACTAGTAGTAACAAGAAGCTAGTAGTATTTAATTCTATATAACTGTTTGTTACTAGTAGTAAGGCACTTGTTACTACTAGCGAGGCACTTGTTACTAGTAGTAACAAGAAGCTACTAGCAAGTGCATCGCTTCTAGTAACAAGTGCCTTACTAGTAGTAACAAGAAGCTAGAAGCTAGTAGTCAATTTAATTCTAATAGCTTTTGGTTACTAAAAGTAAGGCACTTGCTACTACTAGCGAGGCGCTTGTTACTACTAGTAACAAGAAGCTACCAGTAACAAGTGCATCGCT